GTTGGACCGTACAATTTAAACTAACCTGATTGGCTAAAACTTGAAATTTTTCCAAATAGGGTAGATGGGGAAGAAGGGGTAGGAGTGGTAAAACTTTTCAAAATATGATAAACTGAAACCCTTAAACATTTAACTTGTAAAGAAAGGAGGGGAGTGGGGGATTGTCCATTAAGGCATGTTTGGGCAGGTAGGTAAGGCAAGGATGGAAAGTCTTGTTTGGAGAACAAGAATTTATCCTTTCTAGCAATGTGAAAGGACACTAGTCACTAAAAGGAACAAGGAAGTTTGAAGAGGAACTGATTATTTCTGGCAGAGTTCATTGAGCTTCTTGGATATGTAGAACAACATTTTTCAACAGATTTACGAAACTTTAAGTTATTATTTCCTGGAATACTTTTATGTTCCTTTTTCTCATTTTTCTCCTTCTGGTACTCCCATTATATGTATGTTGCTGCTCCTAATGGTGCCGCACTTTTCCCTGAAATGCTGTTCATTTTTCCTCATTAATTTTCTTTGTCTTTCTGATTGCATAATTTCTATTGCTATACCCTCAGGTCTGTTGATTCTTTCTCCCAGCTGAAATCTACTGTTGGGCCCCTGAAGTGAATATTTCATTTTTGTTGTTATACCTTCCAATTCTATAGCTTAGCCCTTTAAAAAATCATTGCTATTTCTTTACTGGTGTTTTCTATTTCATGAAACATTGTCATTATATTCTTCTGCTACTTCACTAAACATTATTTTCTTTAGTTCTTTGAACATATTTATAATAGCTGCTTTAAAGGCTTTGTTAAGTCTGACATGTGGGCCCTCTCAAAGGCAACTCCTGTCACTGATGTTTTTTTCTTTGTATGGATTATACTTTTCTGTTTCTTTGCATGTCTCATTTTTTGTGGAAGATTAGAGATTTTAGATATTACATTGTAGCAACTTTGGATACTAATCCCTCCTCCCAGTTCTCCCTGAGCTTATTGTTTATGTTGTTTACTTATTTATTTGTTTGTTTTCTTTTTTGAGACAGGGTCTCACTCTGTTGCCCAGGCTGGAGTGCTGTGGTGCAATCACAGCTCACTGCAGCCTTGACCTCCCCAGTTCAAATGATCCTCCTGCTTCAGCCACCCAAGTAGCTGGGACTACAGGCAGACTATTTTTTTTTTTTTGAGACAGAGTCTCACTATGTTGCCCAGGCTGCAGTGCGGTGGCACCATCTTGGCTTACTGCAAGCTCTGCCTCCTGGGTTCATGCCATTCTCCTGCCTTAGCCTCCTGAGTAGCTAGGACTACAGGCACCTGCGAACATGCCTGGCTAATTTTTGCACTTTTAGTAGAGATGGGGTTTCACCATGTTAGCCAGGATGGTCTTGGTCTCCTGACCTCGCCCGCCTCAGCCTCCCAAAGTGCTGGGATTACAGGTGCGAGGCACTGCGCCCAATGCACCTTTTTTTTTTTTTTAATATAGATGTGGGATTTCACCATGTTGCCCAGGCTGGTCTTGAACTCCTGAGCTCAAGTGATTCACTGCCTCAGCCTCCCAAAGCACTGGGATTACAGGCGTGAGCTCCTGTATTCAGACCTTTTTTATTTGTTTATTGATGTGGATAAACTATTTCAGTAAAGTCTATTTCCTTTGCAGTGTGCAGCTTCTAATGTCACACCTCAGGTGGGGGCAGTCTTGGCCCTGTGTACAGTCACCCTAAGAATGCAGTGTTTTCCACAGGGCTGTCTTGATTTTATCCTTCTCTGATCTCTCTGTTAAGCTCTGTGCCTCTGTTGGTCTCACACCCAACTATTAGCCTCCACTAACTACAGGCTAATTGTTTACTATTTTCAAAAATGCTCTGGGGGCAGTAATTGCTCTACCTGCTTCTCCAGGCCCAGCTCCTCCAGTGTGTGATATCTTCAGGGGTATCCATAAACATGCTTACGAAACCAAAAATTGCATTATTTGTCATGAGTTTTAGAAAGATAATTACACCTAACCAGAATAGTGAATCTTATAACCCTCTTAGACAAACCTAAGTAAACTCTTACAAAGATACAATGACGTAAAAACACAAAAATCTGCCATGCATATACTCACTGGGGTAAAGCCTCTTCTATAACTTTCATTTTCCGGAAAACAAAGCAAAACAAAACAAAACCAAAAAAACCCACACCTAAAAACATAAACAATAGGAATAAAAAAGGGGGTCTGCCTTCTAGTTCCAAGCTCCTGCAGCACTTGGAGGTCAATAACTTTCCCTTCCAGTCCCCTTGGGTGGTTTCACTTCAGAGTGCCTCCAGTAAAACACCTCCCTGTGAATGAATGGCTTTCCCTAGCACCCAAGAGGGAAGATTTTCAGCAAATGTGTTGAGTGTGTGTGTCGGGGGCAAGATACCAGTGAGTCCCTCTGGTGTAGCAGTAGAGCAACTTCTTAGCCAGTTCAGCAAACTCACTCTATGCCGTTTCCAACAAGAGCTGGGTGGGAAGCGGAGTCTTTCTTGGGTGCTCTGTTTAAGCCCTATGGGTAGTGATATTTCCTTATATGTATAATTTCTATATTATTATTATCATCATTTTTTGAGACAGAGTCTCTTTCTGTTGCCCAGGCTGGAGTGCATTGGTGCAATCTCGGTTCACTGCAACCTCTGCCTCCCAGGTTCAAACGATTCTCCTGCCTCAGCTTCCTGAGTAGCTGGGATCACAGTGCCTGCCACCACGTCCTGCTACTTTTTGTATTTTTAGTAGAGACAGAGTTTCACCATGTTGGCCAGGCTGGTCTTGAACTCCTGACCTCAAGTGATCCACCTGCCTTGGCCTCCCAAAGTGCTGGGATTACAGATGTGAGCCATCACACTTGGCTTTGATTTCTATATTCCTTTGAGCCCTCTTTACTTCTTGCTAGCCAAGCCCTTGTCACTCCAATAGCCTGCTGTCATTCAGGATTCCTGATGTGAAACTTTTTCTCCCACACTGCAGACGCAGGGCACTGGTGAAGCTTCAGGTGCCACAGGACGCCGCTGTGTGAGCTCCTGGAACCCGGAAGCAAGATCCTTCTCTTCTACGATGTCTCTCCAGGACTCTTTACTGACAAAGCACAGGCACCAACCGGAAAAGGCAAAATATTTAGAAGTTCCAGCTCCATTTCCACAGAGCAGACCCAAATTGTGAATTTGGAATGGAGAGGCACTCATTGAAGAACCAGCAAAAACTCAAATGTCTGACGACAACAGAAAGGGAAAAAAATTGTGATATATTCATATAGTGGAATGATATATATATGAATGAGAATGAATGAACAGATATACACAACAGGGAAGAATCTCACAAGCATGTCAAGTGAGAGATGCCAGACATTAAAAAAAATACTATCTGGGCTGGGTGTGGTGGCTCATGCCCGTAACCCTAGCACTTTGGGGGGCCGATGTGGGAAGAGTTCTTGAATCCAAGAGTCTGAGACCAGCCTGGGCAATATAGTGAGACCTTGTCTTTGCAAAACAAACAGCAAGAATGCTCTCTGCATGATTCCATTTATTTAAATTCAGAAGCCAGTCTCATGAGTCTCTGCTAAGGGGGGAAGGAGAATGACTACCTTTGGTGGGTGCAGTAACTGGAGAATGGGTGCTAGTGGGGAGAAGGGAATGTCTGGGTTCTTAGAGGTGTTTATGTCCTGATTTGGGTTGTATAGGCCTCCAGGGCCTGATTCTTAACTGTAAGATAGGAGACTTGGCCAGCTTTCGTCGTCAGAGTGTGGTTAGGGTGAGCACAGCACATCTCATCGCAGCTCCCTAGCTAGCTGCCCTAACCCCAGTTTTGTTTTGTTTCATTTGAAACAAGGTCTCACTCTGTCACCCAGGCTGGAATGCAGTGGTGCAATCTCAGCTGACTGCAGCCTCCCGCTCCAAGGTTCAAGTGATCCTCCCACCTCAGCCTTCTGAGTAGCTGAGACTACAAGTGTGCACCACCACCTCAAGCTAATTTTTGTATTGTTTGGTTGAGACAGGGTTTCACCATGTTGTCCAAGCTAGTCTTGAACTCCTGAGCTCAAACGAACTGCCCACCTTGGCCTCCCAAAGTGCTTGGATTATAGCTGTGAGCCACCGCACCCAGCCCCTAACCCCAATTTAAGGCTCCAATCCAGGCCACAGGGGATGCATAGAGTAGCCAAGTGGTTAAGAGGTTCATCTCAGACCTCAGTCTGCTGGATTTAAATTCTACCTCTCCTACTTATTAGCTCCACGGCCCTAGATGAGTTCTCTACTCTCAGTATCTTGGTTTCCTCACCTGTAAGGCAGAGGTCATTGTAGTGCCTAAGGAGTAAGTACTTATAAAGAACTCAGAAGGGGACCTGTCATATGGTAAGCAGAACACAAGTGTTTGTCATATTAAAATTTCTTTTTTCCTTTTTTTTGAGACAGAGTCTGGCTCTGTTGCCGAGGCTAGAGTGCAGTGGCATGATCTCGGCCCACTGCAACCTCTGCCTCTCCGGTTCAAGTGATTCTCCAGCCTCAGCCTCCCGAGTAGCTGGGATTACAGGCATATGCCACCACTCCTGGCTAATTTTTGTATTTTGGGTAGAGACGGGGTTTCACCCTGTTGGCCAGGCTGGTCTCGAACTTCTGGCCTCAAGTGGTCCTCCCGCCTCGGCCTCCCAAAGTGCTGAGATTACAGGTGGGATTACCACCGTGCTCGGCCCAAATTAAAATTTCTAAAATTTTCAGGCTCAAGGCCTATTTCCCAAAATGGTTCCGATCATTTCTTTCTCTCTTAGAAGAAAGTAACGTGGATAAAAATTGTCCCCAAACCAGCCCTTGGCACCATTTTTAGAGGCGGAATATGAGGCTGGATAAAGCCCAGTTTTGCCTGCAATGGCATTCCTCTCTCCTGTCCCAGGACCCCAGAAGATTATTACTACCAGAAAACAAGCCAATCTTTGCCCTGGTCTGGCCAGAGGCCCAGAGCGTGCATAGGCGGTGACCCAGTGAGACCTTGTTTCAAAAAGCAAAACAAAGCTGGGGTTAGGGCAGCTAGTGAGTGAGCTGGGGTGAGATGTGCTGTGCTCACCCTAACCACACCCTGACGAGGAAAGCTGGCCAAGTCTCCTATCTTACAGTTGAAGGATCAAGCCCTGAAGGCCTATACAACCCTAGATCTTTTTCTAGGGTTCCCAGGAGCTGAGATGCCCATTTGAGCCTGATCTTCCTGAAGATCTTTGGGAAGCTCACCTTTCAGGACTCCCCATGAGGGGCAGTATTGATTTTTCTGGGTCCCCACATTGCTTAGGGAAACAGGTTCCTCCAGCTCCCATTGGCCCTTTTGTGCCTCCCCTGAGAAGCCAAGTCAGGCCACTGTGTCAGGCTTAGCCCAGAGAGAGTGGGGTGGAGGAGGCGGAGGGTGTAACCCAGCCAGGTCCTCTTCACAGAAGCTCTCAGGCAAGCTCCTCAGGGCAGCAGCTCCTCGAGGCCCCAGGAACATGGCTCTCCCATGGCTAGTGCTACTCCTGGCATTGCCCATTTTTTTCCTGGGAGTCTTTGTCTGGGCTGTCTTTGAGCACTTCCTCACCACGGATGTCCCTGCTACCTTGCAGCATCCTGCCAAGTTGAGATTCCTGCACTGCATATTCCTCTACCTGGTCACTTTGGTGAGTTTACTCTCAGGCTACATCATAACCTCGGGGCTCCTTCTCTTGTTCTCAGTAGCTTACCCTCTTTTCCCTCTTTCACTTTCCTTCTGTCTCTCTCTCTTCAGACTCCCTCAAGATAGACGTGTCTCTTCTGTATCTGCTGTTCTGTTTCCCTTTCCCTCTCCTCCCTTCGTTCCTTCTCCTTTCCCATAGCCTGCCTGCCTTTCTTTCTCCCTCCCTCCCTCCCTCTCTTCCTTCCCTCCCTCCTTCCTTCCTTCCTTCCTTCCTTCCTTCCTTCCTTCCTTCCCTCCTTCCTTCCTTCCCTCCTTCTCTCCCTCCCTTCTTTCCTTTTCTCCCTCCCTCTGTCCTTCCTTCATTCTCTCTCTTCCTCCATATCTCCTTCCCTCCCTCTCTGCCTGCCTGCCTTCCTTCCTTCCCTCCCTTCTTCCTTTCTCCTTCTTTCTTTCCCTCCCTCCCTCCTCCCTCCTTCCTCCTTCCCTTTCTCCTTCCTTCATTCTCTCTCATCTTCCCTATCTACTTCCTTGCCTCCCTCCCTCCCTCGTTCGTTCATTCCCTCCCTCCCTTCCCTCCCTCCCTCCCTTCCTTCCCTCCCTCCCTTCCTCCTTTTGTTTCTTTCTTCCTTCCTCTCTCCTGATCTCTCTAACTCCCTTCCTTTCTTCCTTCAGCATCAAATATTTACCAAGTGCCAATCACTGGGCTTTATTCTGAGAATTCAAAAACAATTTCAGACCCATTTCCTGCCTTCCACAGACTTGTGGCCTGACAGCCCCTGCACCTCCTTCAGCCGCACCCATCTTTCACCCTTGGTGCACTGAGTTGCCTACAGCTTGTTTCTATTTTATTTTACTTTTTTGAGACAGAGTCTTGCTCTGTTGCCCAGGCTGGAGTGCAGTGGTGCAAGCAGGGCTCAAGGCAGCCTCAACCTCCTGGGCTCAAGTGATCCTCCCATCTCAGCCTCCCAAGCAGCTGGGACTACAGGTGTGCACCACCATGCCTGGCTAATTTTTGTACTTTTGGTAGAGACAGGGTTTCGCTATGTTGCCCAGGCTGGTCTAGAACTCCTGGGCTCAAGCAATCTGCCCGCCTTGACCTCCCAAAGTGTAGGGATTGCAGGTGTGAGCCACCACCCCTGGCCTCACAGGTGTTTTTTCCTTATTCCTCTCTGTAAGCCCAGTTCCACTCACAGAGCTTGATATTACGTAGGTGCTTACCTTCGTTGATACAATCATACATGAATTCACCCAGCTTTTCTGAGTGGCCCTGCCAGCCAGGCTCTGAGCAGGGCTTAGGGATTGGGGGTTTGGGGGGGACCAGCACACACCCAGAGCTGCAGTGGATTTGGAAACAATGGTTTGACATCTTGTTTGTGGCAGGCAACCTAAGTTAACCCCAGTGTCCCAACCCTGGGTGGAGACCTCATAGAAGCCAAACAGTTCTGCTGATCGAAGGGCAGCTGTGGAAGAGGATGAGGGGACCATGCTTAACTGACAGCAGGGCTTAGGAATAAGGAACACAGACAGCAGCCAGACTGCCTGAGTGTGTGTCCCAGCTCTGCCACTCACTCACTGTGCGGTCCTGCACTGTTTCCTTAACCTCTCTGTGTCTCAGTTTCCTCATCCGGGAGGGTTAATATGTTTAGAGATGTTTCGTCAATTCATAAAATACGTTTCTGTGCGACTGGAAGTGTTCCCCGTGGGTAACAAAAACATTCTCTAAAAGATCGCTTTGAGAGAAATGATCAAGTTCAGTGTGCAACGGCATTGATGCTACTGACTCAAGGAGACAGGGCAAGGACGTAGGAAGTACTCTTGTCTCTCTCATTTGGAGAATGCAACCAGCCTGGAATTAGGCGGTCTCAAGCCAGTGGCTGCAATCCACATGGAGTTACTGGTTGGGTTAGAGCCCCAGGACAAGGGACTCTGAAACAAGGGAAATTGAAGCCCAGGACTTAAAACGGGGGCCTAAGATGTTCAGATGGCCCAGAGAAATGGTGATTTTTTTTAACCTTCCGTGTTTCTCCTCAAAAGTAGTCCAGAAGCTAAGCATCTACTGATGACAGCTGCTACGGGCTGCTCACAGCAGACTCTGCGATGGGTCTGCAGCCACTGAAAGGGTGGATTCAGCTTGTGGCGTCCTCTTGATCCCCCCAGCACTGGGGCCTCCCGGGGCACACTGCCCATGGTGGGGTGATGATGATGAGGATGAAGACATGCAGTAGTGAATGTTCATTGGATCCCAGAGGACAGATAGACAACACAGGAGCAAGAAGTTTAGGGAGGACAAGGAAAAAGCTAAAAAGAGTCTATGGCCAGGAAATCAAGAGCTTTGTTTTGGTATCAGACTGCCCTCTGAGCCCTGAAGCCCTCACTTACTCGCTTTGTGGACTCATGTTTTTAAGCCTTTATGTTCCTCTCTGAAAAGTGAAGGTTTTTATTTTTATTTTTTATTTTTCCTGAGACAGGGTCTCACTCTGTCACCCAGGCTGGAGTACGGTGGCGTGAACATGGCTCACTGCAGCCTCCACCTCCTGGGCTCAAGTGATCCTCCCACCTCAGCCTCCCACGTAGCTGGGACCACAGGCATGCACCATCACATCACGCCTGGCTAATTTTTTGATATTTTGTACAGATGGGGTCTTGCTATGTTGCCAAGGCTGATCTTAAACTCCTGGAGTCAAGCTGTCCTCCTGCCTTGGCCTCCCAAAGTGCTAGGATTACAGGCGTGAACCACTGTGCGTGGCCCCGGGGAGGTTTTTTATAGGGGGACATGGGGATTAAATGAGAAAAGCATTGAAAATGCACAGGTTGGTGCTGGGTCCTTAGAAAGGCTCAGTAAAAGTTGGTTATTCATAGTATGCTTATCAAACCCCTGAAGACAAAGATGTAGCATTTCTTGAAATTATTATAGATTTAAAAGTTGCTACGGATGATTTCAGCCTTACTAAAAAATACGAAGGTAATATAACAGACACTATTGCTATTCTTTTTCTTCTTCTTCTTCTTCTTCTTCTTTTTTTTTTTTTGAGACAGTCTCAGTCTCTCACCAGCGAGGCTGAAGTGCAGTGGCACAATCATGGCTTACTGAAGCCTCGACCTCCTGGGCTCAGGTGATCCTCCCACCTCAGTGTCCCGAGTAGCTAAGGCTATAGGCGCCTACCACCATGTCCAGATAATTTTTTGCATTTTTTGTAGAGACGGAGTTTTGTCATGTTGCCCAGGCTGGTCTTGAACTGCTGGGCCCAAGAGATCTGCCTGCCTCGGCCTCCCAAACTGTTAGGATTACAGTCATGAGCCACTGCACCCAGCCACTATTGCTTTTCCTTTGTGTTTTTGAGACGGAGTCTCGCCCTGTCACCCAGGTTGGAGTGCAATGGTGAATTTTCAGCTCACTGCAACCTCTGCCTCCCATATTCAAGCGATTCTCCCGCCTCAGCCTCCCGAGTAGCTGGGACTACAGGTGCGTGCCACCATGCCTGGCTAATTTTTTGTATTTTTTGTAGAGATGGGGTTTCACCATGTCAGCCAGGATGGTCTCAATCTCCTGACCTTGTGATTTGCCCACCTCAGCCTCCCAAAGTGTTGGGATTACAGATGTGAGCCACTGCACCCGGCCTGGTTTTCTTTTAAAGGGCAAACGATGCAATATTTGTCAAGGAGTTTCAACAGCTATCTAAAATTCTGGACCTCAGATATTTCTTTTCTTTTCTTTTCTTTTTTTTTGAGATGGAGTCTCACTCTGTCACCCAGGCTGAAGTGCAGTGGCACGATCTTGACTCACTGCAACTGTCACCTTCCAGGTTCAAGTAATTTTCCCACCTTAGCCTCTTGAATTGCTGGGACCACAGGCATGCACCACCACGCCTGGCTTTTTTTTTTTTTTTTTTTTTTTTAATTTTTTGTAGAGATGGGGTTTCTCCATGTTGTCCAGGCTGATCTTGAACTCCTGGGCTCAAGCAATCTGCCTACTTTGGCCTCCCAAAGTACTAGGATTACAGGCGTGAGCCACCGTGCCCGGCCACTGGACCTCAGATATTTTTAAAATCTCGATACTGCCATGTATAATCTTAATAATCAGTTTTCCTCTCTGCCTCTGTCCTGTTACCAGCTATAGAAAATGTGGACTCAGAATTGGAAAACCAAACCAAAACCGAAACAATGTAACTTCGTGGCGTAGCTAGTGGCCATCACACAGTGCAGTGTGATGTTACACCTCCCAAGGTAGTGCGATGCCTATGGAGGTTTCACATCACACTGCATTGTTCCAAACAAACATTTCTTGTTCTAGATGCTGGAGACAGAGGGGAAGGTGCTGAGACCTTAGATCATGAGAAGCTTTTGATTTGGTGGTAGGAATAAACATGGGTGATCATATCCATACAGTAAAGCCCTAGAGGAGTTCTAAAGAAATCTTTAGAGACAGAGGTTGCAGTGAGCTGAGAATGCGCCACTGCACTCCAACCTGGGCGACAGGGTACTGAGGGCCTCCAAGAAGGCAATGGCCATTACTATGAGAGGGAGGAGGACGGCCCCACGTGAACATAACCCTTGAGCCTGGATACGAAAGTCAGTTTGGTGTCTAACCACCTGCTGAATAGGTAAGAAAGCCTCCCAGGAAACAGAGAGAGGCATGGAGAAGCCCACAGTGTGTGGGCAAACAGGGCAGATAGCTGGGGAGATTAGGGCTGGGGCCAGCCTATCCTGACAACAGGCGCCACGACTTAGGGAGCTCACAGCTGAGTAGGTGAAGATCCATGCTGGCGCAACATAGAGGCCTGGGGTTTTCAGATGTGGGTCAGTTGATGGGAAAAGCAGGTGACCTGCACCTTGCGGATCAACTCATTCTTCTCCAACTAAAGCAGGGAAATCATTATTTTGTTTGGAGTTCCTTTAGGAGGACCTCTTCATGGAGGGAACCCATTGGGGTAGTCCGTGGGACCTTGGACAAGACCCAGTGGGTGCAAGCAAGAGAAAGAGTGGGGCTCGCACTGGCCAGGACCCACTGGGGAGACACTCTGTGTAGGTGGTCACATCCCATCCTCACACCTCATCCTTGGATCATACACACCAAGCCTCTCATTTTGTAAACAAGGGAAATTGAAGCTCAGAGACAGTGACGCCCAGGGCTTTTCAGTTCACTGGAGTTTGGGTTCAGACTTGAGCTTGGATAGGCTTGGCTCTGAAACCCAAGCTCTTTCTTGTTTAGCAGTTGAGAACACAAATTTTGCATCTTACTTGTTGAACCCTGGGCAAGGGACTTGGGCAAGGAACTTGACCTTGGCATGTCTTAATTTCCTGATTTGTAAAATGGAACTGATAATTGTGCCTGACTTAGAAAGGTTGCTGAGTTTAATCAAGTTAATGATCCAAACCACTTGGGCCAGTACTGGCACATTGTAAATGTCTAATAAGTATCAGCTGTTCTTGTTCTTGTCATTCTTATCATCCCTTGCTGTTTTCCTTATGACAAAGACACACTCCAAATGTGAGATCTGTGGGAGAGATTATCCAGAATCGCTGAAATGTACTTAGTACATGAAATATGACACCTTGTAACTATATTTTGAAATATTCAGATGTTGAGTTGTTCATAAGTAGAGTGACCATATTAGTTTAAAAATACATTACTCCCTTGACCTGAGCCCACAACAGACATCCCTAATTGCTCACGTTGCTCTTTTTCGTTGAACACGGACACAGTCAGGAATCCTTCCTAACCCAGAAGAATCATGTGTTGATACAGGTGAGGAGCTATCTTTGCATCCCAGGCTAGGGAGAGTCCAGCACAGAGCTATAGAGAGGAAAGTTGCCAGCCAGTTGCCTTGGCCAATTGGCTTTTCTTTTTTTTTTTTTTTTTTCCCCGAGATGAAGTCTCTCTCTGTTGCCAGCCTGGAGTGCAGTGGTACGATCTCGGCTCACTGCAACTTCTGACTCCCAGGTTCAAGCGATTCTCCTGCCTCAGCCTCCCGAGTAGCTGGGACTACAGGTGCTCGCCACCACACCCAGCTAATTTTTGTGATTTTACTAGAGAGGGGGTTTCACCATGTTGGCCAGGATGGTCTTGATCTCCTGACCTCGTGATCTGCCCACCTCGGCCTCCCAAAGTGATGGGATATCAGGCGTGAACCATCGCGCCCAGTCAACAATTGACTTTTCTAAGTCAGTGGCTTCTTTCCAGTCTGCCCCAAGCTAGGCTACCCTTTGGCAAATTCACATCATTATTTAGTCAAGAGCCTTTGGGAAGAAAAGTTGGAAAACCCAGCCCCCTACCTGGACACAATCCAGAGCCCATGGATTCCTGAAGAGCCCCTGTACCTACAGGAGGCAGGTGAGAAACTACGAAAACATCCTAACAATTCTAAGTGTCGGGGATCTACCATCCCGATTCTAACCTCTCCTAACGTCTGGCTTTCTTTGATTACCTCCAACAGGGGAATATATTTGAGAAGCTGGGAATTTGCTCCATGCCCAAATTTATCCGTTTTTTACATGATAGCATGAGAATTAAGAAGGACCCTGAACTTGTGGTGACTGACCTGCGTTTTGGGACGATACCTGTGAGGCTGTTCCAGCCCAAGGCAGCATCCTCCAGACCCCGGCGAGGCATCATCTTCTACCATGGAGGGGGCACAGTATTTGGGAGCCTGGGTAAGGGGCTTCCCTGTGGCTTTGCAGAGGAAGGGACTCATCTGCATGCATAGCCTAGCTCATGCCTCCCACAAGAACCCTTCTGCAGTAGCTTAAAGGAATCAGTTGTTGGAGATTTTTATAGCGTTAACAGCCCAGACTAAGGGCTTTGGGCTCAGGTCAGTAGATGGTGTGGCAGCCTACATGGGAAACCTTTTCTTTTCTATAATATGATAGTCTCAGTCAAGATGGGGACAGCAGTGTCATGGCTGGGCTGTCACAGAGGCTGTGGACTCCTCTCTCCCCTTTCTACTCACAGTCATTGGCCTACCCTGTCTCATTTACAATGATTCCCAAACCCACGTATTTCCCTCTAGCTCTGCAGTATCGCCATGGCCCAAGACCCCATCCTTGCTTGCCTGCCCCCTTGCACCCCAGCCTCCCAGCCATGGGTCTCCCTGGTTCACCTTTCGCCCCTCACATCTGGTCCCCACCTAGCAGCCAGAGGGATCTTTTAAAAATACAAGTCAGAGCTTGTCAGTCCTGCACTTAAATCTCTCCTGTGCCCTTCCATGAAACCCAAACTCCTCCCACAGCCTCGCCCGGGTCACCTGTGGTGGCCCTTACCCGTTCACTCAGCTGCAGTCCCGATACGCGTCTATCTGCTGCAGACACTTCAGCTCCTTCTCACCACCATTCTCGACCTGCTGTTTCCTCAGTCTCAAAAGATACCCTTCCCGCCCCTGACATTGCATGGCTGACTACCCCTGGTTCTTTCAGTTGCATCTCAACTGTCCCTCCCCAGAGTGGTCTTGCTACCAGTGGGCTGGGGGATGTCTCCAAAGGCCAGTGGGACCTCCAGCTGGTGTCCCTGCTCTTGAAACTGTTGTGAGAATGAATTCAAGGACAAGTCAGAAAACAGTGAAAATACAGAGATTTGTTGCAAAGGGAAAAACACACACTCAAGAAAAGGGAGTGGGGTGGACTCAAGAGAGATAGGCGCGAAGAAACGCTACCTTTATGCGTTTCTTTAACCAAGGGGTGGGCTATTCATGAAAATTCTTGGAAAAAGGTGAAGTTTTCTCAGAACTGTGGTGCCACCCATTTGTACACCAAATATGGTGTCCCCATAACTGTCCTGGTGCTGGTGGGTGTGTGTTTAATATGTTAATGAACACATAAGGAGGTCCTAGGAGAAACCCAGGTCCAATCCAGTGCCATGTTGGGTCCAATGGGTCTTTGCCAGCTTGGTCCACACCCCAGCTTTTCAGGGTTTTATCAGCTTCTGCAGCTATTTCAACAGTTTCCTTTTGCTAGTCGTGTGAAACTGCTGCCTGAAATTTTCTGTTCTTCTGCGACCACCCTGTACAATTTCTATCTCATTCTTTTTTTCCCCCAGAGATTTCCATCTCTTATACTTAGGGGTCGATGAGGGAGGAAGGTCTCCAGTCTTCAGTATCTACTTCCTGCTGGTTAGGGGTGTTGGCCCCGGCTAGTGTGGGCTTGGAAATCTCTGGATGCCTAGCCTATGGGTCCCAAGGTTGGGTCATCAGGAGGATCTGAATCTCAGGCAGGGATTGATTGGAATCCTGCAGGGTCATCCTTTTGACATGGAACTGTTGCAATCTATTAGGTTGGTGCGAAAGTAATTGCTATTTTTGCCATAAAAGGCAAAAACCATTTGTGCCAACCTAGTGGAAGACATAAACTTTACAAAGAGATTAAACAAGCAAGGACCCAAGATCAGAAGTAATAAGACAGCTATTAGAGGCCCCAGGAAAGGCAGGACTCATGTCACACTTGGTAGGTATCCCTGGATGGAGTCCCATGTGGTTTCAGCAGTGAGGTTATTGAAATTATACAGCTGGATAGCCTGTGGGTAAAACTTGGAACTTGTAGTTCAGCTAATCCTGAATTGTTGATGTAAGAGCAACAGGTATGAACAATAGGTATGGTTTATTACCGCACAAACCCTTCCGAGTGGTTTATGCTCTGGTCCTGTTAGGGCCTTGTACAATGGCTTAGAAATGAGCTTAAATCCTGGGATCCAAATCCTGTAAAATCTTGGCATACCCATGAAAGTTCTAAGTTGCTTCTTTGTTTGTGGAGGTCCTGCCTTCAAGATTGTCTCCTTTCATTTGATGGACAAGGTCTGGTTCCCTGGGCTTAGAATGTGCCCCGGATATTTTACTTTACTTTAGGTTTAGAAATCTGGACCTTGGATGAAGAGAACCTACACCCTCTTTTTCCCATGAAGTTTAGGACCTGAATGCCATTCTTCTCTGAGTCCTCTTTAGTGGGACTGCATACAAGGATAACATCCACATATTAGAGTATCCCTCCCTTTCTAGCTCCAGTTCCCTTAATTCTCGTGCCAAGGGATTTCCAAACACATGAGTCCTATCCCCAAAGCCCAGAGGCAGTACCATCCAGGTGTGCTACTGGGAAATAGTAGTTCCAGGATGAGTCCACTCAAAAGCAAACAAATACTGAGATTTAGGGTGCAAAGGGAAGCAAAAGAAACCATCCATAAGATATAATACCATGAACCAATTGATGTTTCCCAGTATTTGGGTAAATATGATATAAAGATTTGGCACTATAGGATGTAAGAGAATTACGGTCTCATTAATGGCTAGTAAGTCTTGAACTACTGTTTGGTTTTTGGACAGGGAGGACAGGAGTATTACAAGGAGATCAACCTGGAATCAGGAGGCCATGTTTTAACAACTTCTCAATTAGAGGTTGCAGTCCTTGCCTGGCTTCTGATTTGAGAGGATATTGAGTCTTGTATGGGGAATTATTTTTGTCTTTTAAAGAGATGATCACTGACTGAGCATGTATTGCTTTGCCAGGAGTTTCTTGGTTCCATACTTGTGGGTCTACTTGAGACCTTATTTCGGTGTGTGTGTGGGTCTCCTGTTTTTCTGAGGCTGGCAGAACAACAAGCATTGCCAATAAGGAGGGCTTTATAGGGCCTGATAAAGTGCCTTGATTTATTGAGATGGCTAGGAAGTCCCATCCCTGTAGGGGACTGGTGGGAAAAATTTTAGTTAAAATAGTCACAAACCTTCTTGGAAGGCCTGAAGGTTTTTGCAAAAATCTCAGGATAAGGTTATGGCTGAAGGCAACCTAATCCTTACCTTGAGTAAAGAGCTTAAAGTAGGTACAAAGGAAGATAGAATAGTTTATCTAAATAGCTTGTTTCCTCATGTGGTCCTAAGACTAAACTTTGATCATTCATGGGCAACACAGCCCTCTCTGGGGTAGGGGCGACCAGGTTAATTACCCACAGGTGTGTTGACTCAAGCCTTTGTCAATTAATCTTTACTGAATAAATACGAGTCTCGCTGGCTGGTCAGGGCCATGGCAGCTGACTCTTTACAGCACCTTGCTTGGTATCTGTAAGTGACTCGGACACTCAGCCAGACTGACAAAGCAGAATATCTGCGTCAGTGCATGTTATTCATCCGTTGTTGAGTCAGGGTCTCGCACATCCCAATAAACGAATGGGACATTCTGGCATAACTAGAAACTCATGAGTTACTATATAGTGTCCTAGCCTGCAGCTCAGGTGTAAAGTAAAGCACTTTGATTTTGGGGTGCCATCAACACCTGTGACACTGTAGCTTTTGGAGGCTAAGGGCCCAGTATGGCTGTTTAGGAGAGAGTAACTGGCCCCTGAGTCAATTACGAAATTAATATTTTTACCAGCCACATCAAGAGTCACTGAGGCTCCTCAGTTGTGATGACCATGACTTTTGTGGGGGCTGCCGGGAACCTCAGGCCTCTTCAGTTCTCAGTTACAGCCATTATGGCATTGGGTGTCCTTCTCTCCCTTCAGAACTCAGGGCAGTCCCTTTTCCAATGGCCCTTCCATTTGCAGTGAGGGTAGGGTCTAGGTGGGCTCCCTGGCTGGGACAGTCATTGCTTCAGTGTCCCGGCTTTTCATACGTGAAGCAGTAGCCATTGCCTGTAGGTTTGCTGTTAGGCCTATTTGACCCATGGGTGACGCCTCCGTCTGGGTGACCCTCGGTGTGTGGGGCACTGGTTGCAGTGTTACAATGACGGCTATCATTTGGGCCTGCTCTTCATCCCATTGTTTGCCATACCGGGTCTTTTCAGCCTTTTCAGCCCTCTGCCTATTATTGAATATCCCAGAAGCCACATCAAGCATTTGATTAACAGGCATTTAGAGTCCCAAAGCCAATTTCTGCAATTTTCTCCTGATGTTGGGCACTGACTGGCTAATAAAGGGTTCTGATAAAGAGCCATGAAGGCCTATATATATGGTATTTCAGTCAATTTCTCCTGACATTCACAAAAAAGACCTAATGGCAAGATGGTATTAAAATTTAGGGTTTCATTCGCTGGCTATTGCACCCTATTTTCCAACTTATATTGGGGCCAAATGGTGTTATAGAAAGAAATGAGTTTCTTCTAAGCCCATCAAGTTTAAAATTATTCCAGTTTTTAAGAATGCGTCTCAAATGGCCTTGGCTTGTCCTTGGCATGACTTGAGAGAGAAGGGGAAAATAACAGTATGGTTCCCTCATGGATGGACTGGTCCTGGCATTTTATGAAATATCCCTTGTGATTGGCCAGCTCCATGGCCATGCCAGGGAGACAGGCATCCCAGAGGCATCCCAGTTCTCTTGGCTGGCTGCCTCAGTGTCCAGGCATCCCTGGAGCCCTACTGTCCTTGGCATCCAGGCATCCCTGGAGTCTCAGTGTTGCCCAGGCATCTGTGGCCCCTGGGGCTTTGGAAATGGGAAGGTCGAGAAGGGCAAGCTGTGGGCCTGCAAGCTTGCCGATATCCATCTGAACATTTACCACCAGGTAAAGCTTGGGAGTAGAGATGATTCAGTGAGGCCAAAAAATAGGGACCTTGAAGGGACCCCCCCTTGGCATTCCAGAAAACAGTATCTAAGGGGCCTATCCTGCTGTGTCTAAAGAGTTCACTAAGCTGTTGGGTGAAGTGTGAGGAAGAAGCATGAGAAGAGAAAATCACAACAGTAGGG